TTCTATCTTTATTGCATTTCATGTGATATAGCCTCATTGCAACTGTGGAGATTTAGTGGAAATATCACAGAAGTTAGATTCAGATGATTTGGATGCAAGCCTCAATTCTTTTACTTACTGGCTGGCTGGCTTTGTACAAACTCCTTAACTTCTTTGAGCCTCAGGTTATCTATATATTGGGGCTATTTATACTGAGTCATACCTAACAGAATTGTGGTAAGACTCAAATAAAAAAGTTGTAAAAAGTACTTTTATGCTGCAAATGCTATAGAGTGCCACTGTTAATTATATTCCTGAAGTACACATATTTTTAGTGATTGACAAAAAGCTAAGTGAGAAAACACGGCAAAAACAGTAATTAATTTTGCTCCAAACTAATAGTATAAGGGTTTTTTTGTTTTTTGACAATTGATGCTTCACAATTAGAATTAACAGGCATTTAATGACAACCTGAGTATATATCATGCTTTTTCTGTATAATATTCCCATTGTATATATTTGGATTATATGTATTTCGATTGCATAATCTCAGCTTATCTCTGGAGTAGGAGAGTAACATGCTCAATGTTATATAATGAGTAGTCAGGAGAACCAGGTTTCAAATTGAAGTTTATTTGACCCCTATCACAGTTTTCTTTCTGTAATGTAATGCTGTCTCTTCAGAAGTCTTGAAGAATGTACTTATCCTGGGGAATCTTACTGAATCATGATTATGTAAACCCTCTGTTCTTTATTGTTATGCAGTGTAATCCTTAAAAGGTGGGCTTCACGGTCCTCCAGACTTAGAGTTCCTTATTTGATTTTCTAAAAACTGTGAAGAAACTACGTGGGGAAGAATAAGTAGATGAGAGTAACACTTAGAAAGAAAAACAATTATCTCCTATCCTTTTCCCTTACACATGAGAAGTCCTATGCCTCACATCCCAAATTCTCTGATAAATTCTACCCATCCCTAACTTTGTAAGCCACTTTCCCTCTGTTTCTCCTCATTTCTGCTCAGTTTCACATTGCAAAGCTGGAAAGAGTTGACTCCTGGATAAAAGGGGTGGAGAGCCAAATATATCTATCAAATGGGTCATTCCAGAAATCTTTTTAGTTAGGTGAATAAAAAGAAAATCTGGAAATACACATTAATGTTATTCTTTATTTTATTTTTATTTTTTATTTTTTTATTGCATTTTTGATTTTGGGGTACATGTGAAGAACATGGAAGACTGTTGCATAGGTACACACATGGCAGTGTGATATAAAAAAATTAATATTAGGTAATACGAAGTGTTGTGACATTTCTTAAATTTCATTTTGGTGGAATGACCTGAATAACATAATAACTGGTAATATTTCAGCCATATTCTTGAGTAGGTATGCAGAATGCCTTTGTCCCTTTCTGAGAAGGATAGATAGGTCTGAGTTCACCTGAGACGAATATTTTCTAAATTCTGCTGACTCTCTGGCAAGATCCCCCTGACATCATGCCATGGCTGTTATTTATATTTGAAGTCATGCTTTCAAACTATGATGTTTAGTGATCTAATCTCCCTGATTAGGCTTTCACTGTGACAATTGTACATATTTAATTTAGTTTACAAATAAACGCAGATTGATTAAGCTGATTAACTTCACATATATGTTAATTTTACTAATGCTTATCAAGATGATTCACAATATGTCTTCTAAAGAAATCCCCGTATAGCAGTGTGGAAGCAAGTTGTGCTACTTTAAAAGGTAATTGATGCTGTCTTTTTATATTGCTGATTGCATTTATGAAAGATAAATGTGCAAACAATAAAAAGTGGCACTAGAAATAATTGTACTTTCTATTATCTTCCAATCTACTTACTTTTGTAATTTTGGTGAAGCCAAAGCATTAAGAAGCTTTGTGGCATGTGTTAGGGATACAGCAGTCCTGACAATAATATACTTCCATATAGACTAACTTATCATGCCTCTTTGTGTTGGAATCTTGCTCTACTTAACTACATTCCATTCAATTTCCATATATTAATATCTTCTCTATTTCAGATACTCTGTAAGTACAAGGTTGAAAAAAAAATTTGTCCCTGTCCTGATAACTTCAAATCTTCCTGAGGCAGATAGACAGTATATACCATGGACTGTAGTTCAGTGTGACCAGTCTTATAATATATAGGAACAAGTTGCATAAATAAAAACATAGGAGCCTGGTAAGTAGAGGTAGGTGAATTAAGGACTTGAGAAGGATATCTGAGAAAGTTCACAAATCTAGGCTTCAGTAACAGTGACCATCACCTTAATTTCCTTATTATACCTGGACTTTCTGGTGTTATGTTTCCAATTTGATTTTTTTTTTTTTTGGCAGAAACCTGGAGATTCTCTAATTATATTTGGCAATCAGGCCATTTATTATAAGGAAATATTATCGTATTGTTTTAGGCATTGTCTCAATTAAAACACACGCCTCCTTAAAAAGGACTGGAAGACATTCAACAGAAACTTAATAAACACATTTCCATTACACAGCACTTGATCTCAAGAGTGCTGACTACCATAACCGTTATAACAAATCTGTTAGAAAATTGAATAATCTTCCAAATGCTTGTCCACCCTTAATTACTTGGTGTTTTGCTTTCTGAAAGTGTTAACTCATGAAATATAGCAATATACTTTGTTATGTTTTCTGAATTCAAGTGTCATGCCAACAGATGAACTTAATAAATAGCCAACAATAACATTACAAAGCATAAGACTGTGACTATTTTGGAAATCAACTTAGATACAAACCAAGGGGTAAAATCCCATTTTACTCAAAGAGAACCAATTTCATCTAAATCATATTTGTGAAAAATTAATTTATTTGATGAAGTATTTTAAAAGTTATTTGTGATATATGGAGAGGGCAAACTCTTTTAAAGATATTTGAAAGGTTCAAAGTGGGCAAGAGAAATAACAATAGGTAATGACTAATGATTAAAATATAGTAAGAAATAAGCATATATAATCTAAAACTCAACCACTGATATAGGATCTTGAACTTTCAATTATCTAACACATTGAGCTTGGCAAAATCTATATGCCTTTACAAGCCAATAAAATGCTACAGCGAAGACCAGAAGAAAATCTTTGTAATATTTCTGTTGTAGCTAACACAAATAAATTTATTAGATTGTCTTTACTTTTTTTTCTATTATATAATCACATTAAAATCTATGCTCATATTTAAAAAAAATATGTCTTTTATGGTCAGCACAAAGCAGCTAACTCAATTTCAGTTTTTCAATTCTAAACTTGTGAAGAGCAGCTTCACAATTTCAGGACAGGTATGTAAAAAAAAATATCAAATTGAGTGAATTTTGACAAAAATCTGAGCAATTCGGGCCACAGAGAAGATGTAGGCTGTCTGTACATGACAGTAAACAAAACCCTTGGAATGACATAAGTGGGTTGTTTTGAGGAGGACAATGTCAGGGCTTTAAAAAGTTTATAATTTTCAACTTTGTTTCAAAGGAATGATTTAAAGGGAAGCACTTGGCTGACTGTCAGTGAGTCTGGTTTCCATGACACTTTGTTTTCAATACTCCATCTAAATCTGCATGCCTCTTTGGACAAACCAAGCAGAAGAGGAAGATAATTATGGAATGAAATATACAGACTCATTTGAAAGCATCTTCTAGAAATGCTTCTGTGTTATAAAAATAAAAAGCATAGGGAAATCTTTTGGAGAATAAGATATTTAGACAGTATGCTTCAACTTTTTAAAAGAAAGAATCAAATTAGTTCAAGTAATGAAATTTTATTTTCAATGTGGATTATTATAGTCTACCTAAGTGTAACATTATAAGTGATAGATTAAGTTTTTTTGACATTGGTTCTGCCTTTACAAAGTTTGTGATCTCCAATGGGAATAGATGAAATCAAACATCAAATATAGAAACAAAATAAATGCATAACATGCCATGGAAATCTATGGCATTTCAAGTATCTTCAGCATTTGGGTTGATAAGTTGAAGTAAAGATGATCATGATCATAATGGTGCTGCTGTTTCTATAATGGGAGGAGGTAAGAGGAAGAGAAGTATCAGTTGTTCTTGAAGGTAATGCTATTTACTGAATTACAAGTTTGATTGTGTTTTGAATGTTCAATGTTCTATTCCTACGTATTTTCTTCTTTTCGTGGCAATTTTGAATGGAATTCTTTCTGATTTTGCTCCTTGGTTTGACCGTTGTTGGCATATAGAAATGCTAGTGATTTTTCTACATGGATTTTGTGTCCTGAAATTTTGCTGAAGGTGTATATCAGCTGGAGGAGCTTTTGGGCTGAGACAATTGGGTTTTCTAAATATAGAATCATGTTGCCTACAAACAGATCTCTGTTTGTACTTCCTCTCTTCCTATTTGGATGCCCTTTATTTCTTTCTCTTGACCAATTGTTCTCGCTAGGCCTTCCAATACTATGTTTAATAAAAGTGATGAGAGAGGGGATACTTGTCTTATGGTAGTTTCCAGGGGAAACATTCCAGCTTTTGCCTATGTAGTATAATGTTGGCTGTGGGCTTGTCATCAATGGCTTTTATTATTTTGAGGTATGTTCCTTCAATATATAGTTCATTGAGAGATTTTGACATGAAGAGATGTTAAATTTTATCAAAAACCTTCTCTGCGTCTATTGGGATAATCATGTGGTTTTTGTCTTTAGTTTTGTTTATGTGATGAATCACCTTTATTGATTAGCCTATGTTGAACCAACCTTGCATCCTGGGGATGGAGCCTACTTGATCCTGGTGGATTAGCTTTTTGATGCGCTGCTGAATTAAGTTTGCAAGTAATTTGCTGAGGATTTTTGCATACATGTTCACCACGGATATTGGCCTGAAGTTTTCTTTTTTCTTGTGTCTCCACCAGGTTTTAGTATCAAGATGATATTGGCCTTGAGTAGTTTTGTTGGGGGAGCTGAGGTTCTGAGAAGGGGCTGAGCAGGCTCAAAAAGAGATTATGACTGTACCTTTTAACTTTGTAGCTGGAGCACAAGAAGCGTTTGTTTAATGAATGACGGACACATTTAAGATCTGTTTAGATGCTGAGGTTAATCCTGTGAATTGCTAATACAGTTCACTAGGTTTGGCACTTAGTGTTGACTTCAGTATGCTGAGATGAAAACCAACATGCCTAGAGCTAAAGCTCTATAACATTGATGAGTTTGAGAGCATTCGAAAGGACCTGGAGACCCGTAAGAAACAGAAAGAAGATGTGGAAGTCATAGGAGGCAGTGATGGAGAAGGAGCCATTGGTCTCAGCAGTGATCTGAAGAGTCTGGAACAAACGATCAATGATTGGATTGGTTATCAACCCCAACCCAAGCCCAATAATCATTCATCTCAATTTGGAAGTCTTGAATTTTAAAGGTGGATTATCTTGCATGCCAGAGCTGTGGAATGGAATAAAATGATGGCAGAAGTACAAACCAGATTTAGAGAATTGAGTGCTTGCAGTCAAGCAGAATGTCAAAGATAAATGCTTCTGCATGAGATTACTGATGCTTAACTTGCACTCTAAGCTGGAATCCAAACTCTGGTTTGTCTCTGGAAAATTTGATTCTGTAAAACTGATCTGATTTTTTGCTTTTAAAAATAAATATATTTTTGAAAAAAAAAAAAGATGATGCTGGCCTCATAAAATGAGTTGAAGAGGTATCCCTCCCCCTCACTTTCTTGGAATATTTTCTGTAGGGATGGAACCAGCTCTTCTTTGTACATATGGTAGAATTAGGCTGTGACTCCATCAGGTCCTTGGCTTTTTTTTTTGGTTGGTAGGATATTTATTACTGATTCAATTTTGGAGCCTATTACTGGTCTGTTCAGGGAATCAATTTCTTCCTGGCTCAGTCTTAGGAGGATGTATGTGTCCAAGAATTTATGAGTCTCTTCTAGATTTTCTAGTTTGTGTGCATAGAGGTGTTTATGGTAGTTTTTGATTTTTAAAAAATATCTGTTGGGTCAGTAGTAACATCCCTTCATTAATTGTGTTTATTTGGATCTTCTCTTTTTTTCTTCTTTATTAGTCTAGCTAGTGGCATATCTATTTTATTATTTTTTTCAAAAAACCAATTCCTGGATTCATTGAGATCACGACAATGAGAATTAAGAAACACTGCTGAAAGAAATCAGAGAAGACACAAACAAATGAAAAAACATCTTGCACTCATGGATAGGAAGAAACAATATTATTAAAATGGCTATACCGTCCAAGGCAATTTACAGATTCAATGTTATTCCTATCAAACTACCAATAACAATCTTCACAGAAGTAGAAAAAAAACTATTTTAAAATTCTTGTGGATCTAAAAAAGAGCCTTAATAGCCAAGGCAATCCTAAACAAAAAGAAAAAGAAAAAGTATCATGTTACCTGACTTTATACTACAAGGCTACAGTAACAAAACCAGCATGTTTCTGATACAAAAACAGGCGCACAGACCAATGGAACAGAATGAAAAGTGTAGAAATAATGCTGCACATCTACAACTATCTCATCTGTGACAAAGCTGACAAAAATAAGCAATGGGGGAAATGACTCTTTATTCAATAAATGGTGCTGGGATAACTGGCTAGCCATAAGCAGATGATTGAAGCTGGACACCTTTCTTATATCATACACAAAAATCAACTTAAGACAGATTAAAGACTTAAATATAAATCAGAAAAATACAAAAACACTGCAAGATGACCTAGGCAATACCATCCTGGATATAGGAATGGGTAAATATTTCATGACAAAAACACCAAAAACAATCACAATGAAAGCAAAAATTGACATCTGGATCTAATTAAATTTAAGAACTGCACAGCAAAATACACTATCGATGGAGTAAACAGACAACCTACAGAATGGGAGACAATATTTATAAACCATACATCTGACAAAGGTCTAATATCTAGCATTTATAAACTTAAAAAAATTTACAAGAGAAAAGCAAACAATCCCATTAAAAAGTGGGCAAAGGACATGAACAGACACTTCTCAAAAGAAGACACACATGTGGCCAACAAGCACTTGAAAAAGAGCGCAATATCACTATCATAAGGGAAATGCAAATCAAAACCACAATAAGATACCATCTCATACCAATCTGAATGGCCATTATTAAAAATTCAAGAAACAACAGATGCTGGTGAGGTTGTGGAGAAAGTGGAACACTTATACGCTGTTGGTGGGAGTATACATTTGTTTGACTGTTGTGAAAAGCAGTATGGTGGTTCCTCAAAGAGCTAAAAGCAGAGCTACCAGTTGACTCAACAATTCTATTACTGGGTATATACACAGAGGAATATAAATTGACCGTATACTGTTTCTACCATAAAAACACAAGCATGGGAATGTTCATTGCAGCAGTATTCACAATAGCAAAAACATGAAATTAACCTAACTGTCCATCAATGACAGATTGGATAAAGAAAATGTGGCGCATATACACCATGAAATACCTTGCAGCCATAAAAAGGAACAAGATGTCTGTGGAGGGGACATGGATGGAGCTGGAGGCTACGTCCTTAGCAAACTAACACAGGAACAGAAAAACAAATACCCCATGCTCTCACTTACAAGTGGGAACTAAAGGATAAGAACTTATGAACACAAAGAAGGAAACAACAGACACTGGAGTCTACTTGAAGAGGAGGGTGGGAAGAAAGAGGGGAACTGAAGAGATAACTATTTGGTATTGGGCTTAATATCAGGGTGATAAAATAATAAGTACAACAAACCCCTGTGACACGTGTTTACCTATGTAACAAAGCATATGTACCCTGAAGCCTAAAATAAAAGTTAAAAAAAAGAAAGTTTGATTTCATCTTTTGATTTTAGATTTTTATTTCTTATTACTTCAACTATCTTTTTTTGTGAATTTTAGTACCGCTACATATGAATTGAGATTTCAATGTATTTTGTTGTTGGGTAGTTTGTTAAATTTGTAATGAGTCCTAAGTACTGTGGACTCAAAGACACAATGCCAATGTAAAATATTGTTTGTATTATTGCTTCATTCCTCTCAGATACCATTTCTGTCATTATGTGTCATTGTTTCATTTTGTGAAACATATCTTTTTTTTTCATATTCTTTAATGTGAGGAAGTAGCTTTCCTCAGTGTTGTAGCTGTCATTTTTACAAAACAGATCATCATAAAATCTAATCTTAAATCAACTGTTGTAATTTGCTAACAAATTCTATAGGTCAAGAATTTGGACCAGCCACAATGGGAACAGCATGTCTCTCCTCCATGATGTCTGGTCACTTCTAAGAAAAACCTAAACGGCCAGGAGAGGGACTCAATTACTGAGGTCCGAAGTCCTGTTCCCTCCTTTGTTTGGTTCTGGGGCTGGAATAATTTGGATTAGGACTCCCTTATAGGAGTGCCTCTCCATGTGGCATCCTTGTAGAATGGTGGCTGTAGAGTAGCTGGATTTCTTACTGGGTAACCCAGGGCTCCAAGTGCAAGTGTTCAGGCAAACAAGGTTGAGGCTGCATTGCTCTGGCTGACCCACATTTGGAAATCACCCAGTCACTTTTGCTGAATTCTGTTGGTAACAGGCAAGTCCCAACAAGTCTGCTCAGGTTCAAGAAGGAAAGGTCATAGACTTCCCCTTTGAGGAGGGATATCAAAAATTAGCCACTTTCTTTTTTAAACCACTACAATTAATTTTTAGTTTTTATGGCATATGATATTAAAAAATTGTTTAATTTAGGGCAAAAAACCCCCCAAACAACAACAACAATGACAAAACTGACAAAAACAAAAATTAGCAAAATGTATATTTAACCATTTGTGTGTATTTAAATTATTTTGGCTGAATATTTGTTTTCCCTTATTTTAAAAATCTTTATTAATGTATAAGGAAAAAATAAAGATTTTAGTTTAAGCATTTATATATATGTTAATATATATAAGGAGAAAGATCACTCATTTCCTGTTTTTTTTGGTACTAACATTTGATTACACGTAAAAGAGGGCCAGGTGCAATGGCTCATGCCTGTAATCTCGGCACTTTGGGAGGCCGAGGCAGGTGGATCATTTGAGGTCAGGAGTTCTAGATGAGGGTGCTTGGCATGGTGAATCTCCATCTCTACTAAAAATACAAAATTAGCCAGGCCTGGTGGCAGGCGCCTGTAATCCCAGTTACTTGGGAAGCTAAGGCAGGAGAATTGTTTGAACCTGGGAGGCGAGGTTTGCAGTGAGCCAAGATCTCGACACTGCACTCCAGCCTGGGCGACTGAGTGAGACTCTGTCTCAGGAAAAAGAAAAAGAAAAAGAAGGCTGTTTATAGTGACTTTAGCAAATAGCAGTTTCATTTTTCTGATACAGCAAGAAGCCATTTAAGAAAATCATCAGCTTTCTGGGATCTATTTGCTTCTTACTCTGCTGTCCTTGGCATGTGGCCTTGGGTCCTTATGTGCAAAGGGTGGCTGTTGTACTTCTAGGCACGGCATTCCAACTCCAGATAAGACAAAGGAGAGGATAAAAGTCAAAAGTTGCCTCTAACACCTTGATTAAAGCAATTATTTTGGTAAGACCCATTTAATTAAGCTCAGCTTTTGGTTTGACCCATTTAATTGGTTTGACCCAACTTCAGCTTTTGGTAAGACCCATTTAATTAACTTCAGCTCACCTCTAGCTACTTGGGAGACCGAGTGATGAGTATTTTTAACCTAGCACATGCATATCTCATATAAAATCAATGTTAAAAAAGAAGAAGGTGAGAATGGATGGTGAGTAATCCCTAGCACTGTCTGCCACTTGGTGAAGGCAATGAAATATGGTAGAGGGACCAGAAGAGTTAGGACAGGAATAGGAAAAGTTAGGGAAGAAGTGTTAGGAAAGGCTTAAAAAAGAGATGGGTTAAAAGCATGAAGTATCAGCTGATGAGGCCATTTTTCTTAGGTGGAAGCAAAGATGGGAGCTGTGTGACTCATCAAAAGACATATTAAATACAATAATTTGTGTTTAATATATTCATTCAATAGTTTCTCCTTTGAGGATGGGTATGCAGTGTTTTTAATGAATAGTATAGAGATATACTCGTTCTTGGCATACTGACTTGAATAATGAATGACCTTGAACACTTTGGGATAGTATTTCTAAATTTTTTGAAAATGAAATTTTCCTCACTAAAGCAGTTTATATTTTCATATGCGATGCGGGCTTTCTCAATAATATATCATGTGATTTTTTTTTCTGTGTTTTGACTTATCATAGTTTCTACTGTTTGAGTGCAACTAAACTTCAGCAAGAACATTCAAGATGAGTGCCATGAACCAGTGAATACAACACTCTAACATAGTTAATGAAAATTAGAATTACATAAAACAGATTTCTAAAACAGTTCGCTAGACATTTAGAAACTGTGATTCCACAGGCATTGAATATAGAGTATCTCTGTCAGCCATTTACAATAAAACATTAAATTATAACAAAATTGTTGTTTATAAATAACATGTGCCCTTTCTCTTATATTCCCATATTGTCCATTTAGTCTGCTGAACCAAGTAAAACATGAAATTCAGATAACTCCAAAAGGAAGGCTGACAATTTCTGATAATACTTTTAGTAATGTAATACTTTGAAGATGAAGATATTTGGATAGATACATGGT